CCATTACCGTCGATTTCCAGCAAGGCAACTGAATGCTTCACTTCAAAAGCGCCTTGTGAAAAGGGTGCTTTTGAAGTGCACAGGGTGAAAATCACCTTGTTCAAATTTGCTGATGACACTAAGATGTGGGGGGATGTGGGCACGCTAGACGGGAGGAACAGGCTACAATCGGACCTAGACAGGTTACAGGGGTGGGTGGATGAGAATAGGATGGGATTCAACACTGACAAGTGCAAGGTGCTGCACCTGGGGAGGAACAACCGGCACCGTACCTACAGGCTGGGAACTCCCTTCTCGGCAGGGCAGAGGCAAAAAAGGATCTTGGAGTCATCATTGATGCCAAGATGAACATGGGCCGGCAGTGTAGGGACATGGTCAGGAAGGCCAACCGTACCTTGTCACGCATCCACAGATGCATCTCGAGCAGGTCCAAGGAGGTGATCCTCCCCCTCTATGCAGCACTGGTCAGGCCACAGCTGGAGCACTGCGTCCAGTTCTGGGCGCCGCACTTCAAGAGGGATGTGGACAACATGGAGAGGGTCCAGAGGAGGGCCACTTGCATGATCGGGGGCAGCAGGGCAGGCCCTACGAGGAGAGGCTACGGGCCCTGAACCTGTTCATCCTCCACAAGAGAAGGCTGAGAGGGGACCTGGTGGCCATCTATAAACTTAACAGGGGAGACCAGCAGGGAACAGGAGAGTCCGTCCCTATCCCTGTCCCCCAGAGCACTACCAGGAGTAACTAGGAATAATGGCCACAAGTTGACTGAGAGTAGATTCAAGCTGGACATCAAGAGGCGCTACTTCACGGTCAGGGCGGCTAGGATCTGAAACCAACTTCCAAGGGAAGTGGTGCTGGCTCCTACCCTGGGGGTCTTCAAAAGGAGGTCAGACAGACACCTTGCCGGGGTCGTTTGACCCCAGTACTCTTTCCTGCCATGGCAGGGCATGGGTCTTGATGGTTTGCTCAGGTCCCTTCCGACCCAACCAACCATGAAACTATGAAAATTGAAATCTGGGTTTGGAATTTGCTGTCAGGACCTCAGGAAGAGCCAAATTCGCACCCTCAACTCAGAACCAACTGTAAGGTAATGGGTTGGAATAGAAAATCTGTACTGGAATTTAAATTTTGCATCCCAGGTATCTCCATTTCATACGTGACTAATCATTTGTGATTTGTCCAGAACCACCTTATACAATTAATCGCTCGTGCCGAGATGCATAAGAGGAGTTAAAAAAAATTTTTTTTTAAATCAGCCTCCTCTAAAGCTATGTTGCATGAGATCTCTAGAGGACGACCACCGTCTTCCCCCATAATGAAATGCTTGCTGCATCCTGGGACCATCTACAGTGACAGAGTTCTTCTGTTACCTCCTTTTAGCATGAACATGGCTTGTTTTAATTTTGTGGCTGGTACGTGGGATGCTTTTAATGTTACAGCTGAGCAACACACATGCAAGGGGTAATTTTGGAAATGTTACCATGACTCAGTGTCTCATGCCCCATCCCCAATGCCTCTGAAGAGCAGGCTTCGATGGTAGGACAGGTCAACCCCCCTCTTAAAGGGCTTGCCTACATATGGAAACCAACTGCAGAAAATGTGGGTTGGATGGGACTTCAGGAGGTCACATCTAGTCCAACCGCCTGCTCAAAGCAGGACCATCCCCAACCAGATCTTTCCAGCCAAAGCTTTGTCTAGCCAGGTCTTAAAAACCTCCAAGGACAGAGACTCCTCCACCACCTCTCTGTGTAACCTGGCCTGGTGCTATCAGAATAGCCACTGCAGAATACTCCACTCCCCAACAGCTCGCCATACAGACAGTAATTACAGAAGAGCATGCAATTCAAAGCAGAGGAATTATTCTGGAATAAGAATTAGTTCTGGGGAAATGCAATTTATATGGGAGGCTTTTAACACGTTTAGTTCAAGTATACGTTTACTCCTTGTTACTATTCAGCAGCGTGCACACAAGCGCTGACTGTGTGATATATGCCCATCTGTGTGGTACTGCCACCCAATTAAGAGTCACGTCTGTAAATCGTCATACCTTCCCCATAAGTAACTCTTGAAAGATAAAGCAATCACAAAGGCAAGCTGCTACACTGGATTCGAACCTGAACAGCTCAAGGCTACTTGGGTTTTTCTTGGGGGGTTTTGCCCCACAGAAGAAACTACAAACTCTCAAACACGCACCCAACTCGTATCCTTCAACAACTGGCTCCACGGAGCATGTTTCCACACGTGGGATTACACATCCTTGTGACCTGTTAAAAATCAAGAGCTACCGAACAGAAGAGATGTGACAATAGCTGCAAAAGAAAAGAGCTCCTTTACTTCAATTCATTCTGCGAAACTAGTTTTAAAGTATATATAGCTTAATTACACTCTGCTCAGCCGTATTCATAGCAGCGATGTCTCTGACAACAGGAATCATCTCCACAAGCTATTCTGCGCTCAGAGAAAAATGCACCAAGAATAGATGCGACCTTCGTGTCACAGCCAAACCTATTCTCAAAAGAAAAAGCCACTGCACTGTTTTTTTCCAGAGTGACTTCGTCAAGGCAGATCTACCTGTGAGCTGACCTCGAGGGTTTGAGGAAATTATTTGTAAAGTTGCCGGCCTCATTCGCTTTTCAAAGTAAAAATGCTTCAAAACAAATCTGAAAGACAATTCCTTAGCTGGATACCTGCAGCCTTGTACAGGAGCCGTAGCTACCCAAAGCAGCAAAAATCAAACAACCCACAGGCTGCCTGATGACAAGCCTCATTGAAAAACCCACTGTTGCCATCTACCTAAATTCTCGGCATAAGGGGTGATGTGCACAGGGTTGATGAGCAAAACCAACCTGCTTTCAGATGACATTGCCACCTCTTACCATGCTCAGCAAGGAATGCAAGTTACATTTGCCACCACCTAGTATTTGCAGGATAGACCAGCTGTGACCACAACGCCACGTGCTTGTGCTCCGAGATCTGCTGGTCTTCAGGCCTGGAGGACGAAGCACTAAGATGTTACTAAGGTAGTTGGCAATCAGGACTCACAGTAGAGAGGATATCGCTTATTAGACCAACAAGATTTTTGCAAAATCAACCAAGGGGGTTGATTTTGCATTTAGCACACAACTCCTGTGATCCAGTGAGTGCTTAATGTGGCAATTGTATAAGCGTCTTTCGATGTGGCCTGCTCCAAACAAAAGCAGCTTTTTCTCTTTGGGGGCTTCCATGTCTCTGTAACAGAGGTAATAAATCCTTGAAACAACACTAAACGCTTAAAACCTAACAGCTTCTCACGTAGTACAACCCCACAATCTGGTTCCAGCGAACCGCGTTCTTCCAAGCTCGGCGCATTACAGGCCGGTTCAATTTCCACGGCAAGATACTTGCTTCTCAGCTAGGCAGGAGATGTAGTGTGCACCAGGATAAGGAGTGGATGCATTTCCCTTTAAGGAGGCAAAGCCACAGGAAGAATGCACTTTGGATTAACGCTGCTGGCCACAGGGTGCCCCTGTTGCACCACAAATACACAGCTTCAAATGCTGTTACTAGGCCAGGCTGTAAACCAAGACAAGTTCTTAAAAGAGGACAGGATTGAAGGAAATTACAGCTGATTTGGCACCAGCTGGGAGCTCTAAGTTACATTTCTGGGGAGAGCAGAGCAGCCAAGGTATGCCAATATTTGATATTCTTGGCGAGCTACCATTAGCTATAGATAAGAGCCAGGATCATCTGGTGCAGGCGAGAAAGCACTAGGCTGGAAAGTATAAACACTCTGCTCTTAAGACCTGTACTTCATGTGTACTAAGCAACATACAGTACAGGTCAGGTATGAAAGCCGGCTTCAAAGTGCACAGGCACCCACAAAAACAAGCAGCCCATGATTCGGCATACGACCACGTACCATATGCTTTTCGAAAGGTATAATTGGAAATTTTACCATTAGTATTTCTCAGAGAAGACTCCTCCTACAGGAACCTCCATGCACTGACCTGCCTGCTCCCCAATTAGGTTTGCAAAACTTTCCCATCAGGTAGAAGAGAGAAGAACCATCGTTTCAATGGAGTCTGTATGTGGCAAAGCACACCATGAGACAGTCAGTACCATTACTACCCCACAAAATATTTGGTTTCCTTATTAAACCCTCTAACTCTCTTGCTTGCTATTTAGTTGTGGTGTTTCACTCCAGTGCAACCTTTATTTAAATCAAATCATTTCAGAACAAAAAGCCATCTTATCATAGAGAGGAGGAAGGACTAGTGTTTGGGGGAAACCGCTGAAAAAGCTGCAAGAGAAAACCCAAAGCTTCATCTGGTTGGAGCTGCAAACAAGTTTGCTTCTGTGAACAGAATGAGTAATCAGCCCGTGAGCTCAAGAGAAACAGTACATAGCACTGCAACCTGAAGTATTGAAAGACTGCAAAATTTTGCTTGGTTATATCAAAAGCGCTTGACCCAGAGCCAACTGAAGCAAGAGACAACTCCATCGCTAATTCTTTTTCTGGATTAGCACCATTCAGATGCAAATCCATACGGTTTAACACTATTTTAGCCAGCTAGCAAAGAGCCTGTGGATACAACGTGAAATAAAACTGGTCAGTGATGTGGCACTTTCATGTTACTGGGGCAAAAAATAGTTACCAATTTCTTTCTTGGAGATACCTGAAGATATTGCACTGACTAAGCTGAATACTCTTGATTTTTTTGCAGACATTATTATTCATTAGACTACCTACAACATGCTCAGCAGCCTAAGATACCAGAAACTTCAAAAAAAATCTATTATTTTTGCTCAAGATGAAAAAGTCTGATTACTTTATTTTGGGGTTCTTATGGGGGATTTTAAGCCAAGTCCACACTCTTGGGTACTATTCATTTTGGACAAATTAAAAGCCCAAGAAGCTAAATAAGGACATTTTTCTATTGATTTCCAATGTACTAAAATAAACCGTGTTCAAAAGAGGGGAGAACTGATTCGAATGAAAGCACACGGACACTAGAGCTTTGAAAAAAATATACTTCATTATTGTTTCTTTTTATTTAAAGAGTCCAATCCATCTCTTGCACACACACAAGACTTCTGGTGAGTTCAACAGTAGTCAGCCGTAGGGAATGCAAGTATCCTGCCCTATGAAGTTTTGGCTCTTTAGACATGAAGCTGTGCGGTCTTCATATAACTTTCAACACCCCATTTATTCTACGTGCTTGCTGGCACTCTAGTATTTGCCAGTGCTAGGCGCATGTGTCCTTCACCACACACTACTGACCTTGTGTGGCACCAAATCTTTAGCCCTAAAGGATGTTTTCTGCAAGGGAGGAAATAAAGTCCAACTTCCCATACATATGTATCAGCTTATTTTTAATGGAATTGTTTCTGCAAAAAAAAAAAAAA